CCAAATGTCTGTTTCCTTGCTGGACACTTTTTGCATGACCTTTGACCTTGCTTGTTCTGATAAGTGTCAGACGGACAACGGAGACATAAACTACCGGGAACGAATTTAAAACCAGGCAGGCATCCTATACAAAGAAAGAAAGAAAGAAATATCAAAATAATATAAAACAACATATCTCGGCTTAGATTTGAAATAGGCTCAATCACAAATTAATACCACGCTACAACGTCTGCGCATGGGCTGCCACCAAGCGCAGACATTTGACCGCTACGTTGTCATGAGCCGGAAGATTAAAGATATTTATTGCGAAAAACTTAAAAAAAAAAAAAAATTCCATTCAGGTTTGTTTGATTTTTCCTAAAGCTGTCGGTTGGAGGTAGGCTCGACCACCATTTTTTTCTCGAGTCTCGTCGTCGATTCCCCTTAGAAGACCTCTTCGGTGAGAAGGGGGGGAGGAAAGGGGGGGAAACGACCAGTGTCTTACAAGAGTGCTCGAAATAGTGCTTTAAGGCTTTTCAAACTCACGAACCAGTAACTCACGATGTTTTAAAGAGCGAAAGACGTTTTCGACAGGTCCTGAAACAAATAGGAAATCAATAAAATACCCATAATCAAATAAAATTTCATGTCGAAGTTTTCTTTTTCCCTACTTCGATTTCCTTTTGCAGTTTTCTTTAAACGTTTTAATTCCTTTCTGTGAATTTTTCTCAGAAATAGTTTCTATGCAATTTCCTTTAAAACGGGAACTTGGCGCGCTGCCTGCCAAAACTAATTCATTTGCGCATCCCTCACGTTCGACCGCTGTGTCGGTTAGAGGTCTTCGACAACTCACCGCATTTGGTGTTGTTAATCTGTATTGAGCCCGCAGCACAGCAGGGCGGTGGTCTATCCCCACAACATGATGTCATATTTGATATCGTGGATAAATTGTACTTGGAGTAGTTGATACCCCCTTGAATTATTGTTGGAGTACGTGAGTCTAAAAATTGCTTGTAGACAGATAGAGTGCTGATACAGTTTGTAAGCTTCTGGGAAACTTCATCGTCTGGTACACTTGTAAATGCCGTAAAGATCAGTGGTATTCTAAAAAAAACACTTGGCACTCCTACGGCAGAGCTAATTATATCTTCCCTGGACACTGTAACTACTTTGCACACGGGGAGATTTGAGAGAATGGTGGCCACTGCGCTGAAAGTGGTTGAAAACGTCCTTCTGGTACTTGTTATGGTGTCACTTGTAAGACCTCCTCGTATTTGATAGTGAAATGTGACGTCGACCTCGTAACATCTTTTAACATCATAGTTAGCAGTCAGTGAAACATCTGAAACAACGAAAAACGTAGAATTTGGTTCAAAATTACCAAACTGCAACATACGACAAATACTCTCGATCTTTATTCATCGTCGGGGGGGGGGGCGGAAAGTTTTTTTGGGAAGGAATCACGTGATGTCCGGAAAGAACGGAGGGGGAGGGTAAGTCGTCTCCAACAGAGTTAAAAATGGGGAACTGTGGAAATTTGACTGCCAATGAAAGGGCACGATTAGAATACCCATAGGGCCTTATGAGGGAGTGAGGAAAATTTCACTGTTACACAACCAAAGTCTTCTGAACCCCTCTTCCTGGGCGATAAGCAATAAGGGAACAGTACTGGGTTGACAAGTTTCTTTCGCTGCTATTTTTGCTTTAAAAGGGGCTTGTGTCACGCAATAATTCCATTGCTAGCCATCGTAAAAGGTAGTACCTAGAAAGACAGACATTTTTTTAAAAAATGAAACTGCGCTTTTCTAATGTATTGAAGAGAAAATTCTGCCAATAATACAGTTTCAAATAATGATAAAATTCTTCAGTTTGTTTCACACGAATAAAAGATAAAAAGTTGAACAGA